AGAGTTGCAATGAGGCACATCCTCTGTCCAGGGCCGCAGCTCCAGGTCCAGCCACCGCGCGTACAAGCAGGCTGTATGGATGTTCGCGTAAGTTTTGGATGCGCGGCATATGCATCGCAGAGATTTGCAGAGGCCGCTGCCACCACTGCAAGAGGAGCCCAGGAAAGCAACGGGACGTGTGAACCGCTTCATGCAGGTTCAGTGCTAGTACCCTATGTTTGTTCTGGCAGGACATGCAGAGATCGTGACTTGCCCATGGTTCAGGGCTTATGTCTGCATCAGTGTTTGTACCCTCAGCATGCAGGGTTTAGGCATGGTACTGGCCGCCTGCAGGGTGAGTTTGTGATCGACCTCCACAAGATCGCCTCCATCTCAGCATATTTTAGCTAACGTCTCCGTTTGTGTGCGGCTAAAATTCAGGCCTGCATTCTGTGCAGGATCACTTCCATTTGGTACGGTCGCTACCAGAAGATGTCCTGCTCTTGGACTTCTAAGGCTCTGCAATCGCTTTTCTTTGGCTTGAGCATTGGCTGGGCTCAATCTGGCCCTCAGGGAAGTGGATCCCTGCATTCCACCGACCAGGCCGATGATGAGAGGTGCCCCGAGTAGGATTGCAGTGTTTTGCACACAGGTGGTAAGCCCAACTTTTGATGGAATTTCCTCGACTTGTTTCGCGTCTATTGACCAAGAAACTGCTCGGTTGTGTCCCCAAACCGTCTGCGAAGTGTCCCGCGAAGTATCCGCTACGAGTTCAAGAGGCATGTGCGAGGGAGGGTCCCAGGACCCGGGGACGTCCTCCTGGCAACTGTCGTGTTTGCTGACGAGGAGCTTTCGTGATATTTGTACAACGCTCCTTCCACCAAAATCGTGATAGCTAGGACATCTGCAGACCGTTGTTTGTGCATTTGACACATTTCCGGCTTTGCCTGCGGTTGAGGCACTGGGCCACGCTGCTTAGGTCCTTTCGGCTGGGCCCCTGAGCTCCAGCGGTGAATATCAAGACATCTTTCGGCACCGAAGCAGCCAACTGCCTTCAATACCTTGCGGGGTCCCGCACCAACCATACAACTCAACTATTGCACGAACCGCAATGGAAACACGAGAGAACCTGCTCTCACGGACCCTTCCAGAACCCCCTTAGCAACCTTCCTCCAACTTTAAGGACCCCCTCTTGCGATGAAGACCTCGCAAAACCTCCTCTCCTGGGTTTAAAGCAGCATCAAACAGCATCTCTCGAGACCTCCTCTGAGCGTCAACAGTTCGAAGGTTCAAAAACGCCGCCCCTGTGACTGTTCGCAGTTATGGCACAGCAAAAAAGCTGTATTGCTCTCAGAAACGGCTAAAACAACATCAATATCAATGTCTTTTCCTAACCGTTTTTTTTTTTTTTTTTTTNNGCTGTTCGAGCCCGGAAGTGGGCCGGTGGGAACTGGGCCCGCGGGAAAAGTGGCTTGAAGCTGCTTGAGTCTCGGCTTCTCGGCAGCCCACCGCGGTGGGCCTTTTGCTTAGAAAAATGTATCAGCCGCCGCAGGTCTAAACGCAGTCTGTTGGGGCTGTGGCCATTTTGGGGCCCTTGGTGCGCTCCTGGGTGGTTGAGAATTTTTGAGGTAGTTCCGGAAGCGGCGAGGGGTCTTGCAGGGATACCCAGGGACTAGTTATCAGTTGGGAGGAAGGCTCAGTTGAAAAAGCGTGACAGCATTGCTGCTTGACATGCATGTCACGAGACGCTCAGATTCGACGAAGGTCATGAGAGTTAGACAGTCTTGGGATCGACGTGCCTGCATCCTCTTCTGGGGATGTGTTAGCCGTGAAGCGCATGCGTCATTGAGCTTTCGTTCCGGCTGCTGGCTTCAAGGTTTTAGCTAGCCGCGTTTGTTCTTCTGCTTCTTGGCAGTGTTTTTCTTTTTAAGCTAAGTTTGCAACTTGTGAGTTGTCCTGACCATGGTCATTCTGGCCTTAATTACAATTTTGCATTATGGCGGTTTTTGCTTTTCATGCTTGATTCCTGCAGTTCCCCCAGTTACAATTTCCTGTGAAGAAAAGCAGGGAATGACAGGAAATTGTGGGAAACGATTGAGCAAAAATGGAAGGTCAAAAAGATTTAAGCAACAAATTACAAACACGCTGATCTCATGCAAAAGGATGGAAATTGTTGCAGCTGATGGACAAATCATTGGAAATTCTGAAACCTGGTGAAACCTGTAGAATACAAGTCAGCACATGCAGCCCCAGAAAAAAAACGATTCCTTGTCATGCATTTCTGACGCCAGGCTAGATCACAGCTCACTGCTGCTGCTCGGAGTGCCCGTGCCTCAGCGTGATGGTTGTAAGAAAGTGTAAGTTTGTTTTCGACGCTCGTGCCGAGCGTGCTCTGAGTGATCTGAGTGATTGAGGCCTGAACATGCTGCCACAGCGCGGCTTGCAGGCTTGAAACACCAATGACTGCTTCATCTAGCGAGTTATGTGCTTTCACTTGCCAGCCAGTGTGCCCAGGCACCGCCAGCAGCAAAAGCTTGTTCTCAACCGCAATGACTTCTTCTAGCGCTTGTGCCTCAGCCAGCAGCTTTTCACAGTGCTAAATTAGCTTTACACGGCATTGCCGCATTATCACCACAGCAGGCAAGCCTGACATCGGTGTCGCAGCTCTCATCAAGGCCAGTACCAGATACAGCATGCTTTTCCAGCAGCTGTGTTCCATGCCTGGTGATGTGTGGCGGCCCCGCAGGCCTGTCATCCAGGCAAGTGAATGCGTGAAAGGTGTTGGTGTATCGTTGGAGCCTTGTGAAAGGGAGTGGCTCAGCAAAGCCCTGTTCAGATGGCCCAGAGATATGGACGGTTGGCATGAGGATTGAGAATGAATAAGTTGAGGCGTACGAAGTGCCCGAATTGGAGCCACAGATCACAAGTGATGCTCCCAGGCGCTTTGACAGGGTGTTGCTTGATTGTTCTCTGCATTGCAAAGGTCGTCGTTGGGGAACAGCCTTGGGTCATGGAGCGCCAAATCCCTAGCAGTGGCAGGCGGCTTGAAGCGTGCACCATGTGGCCTCCTTGAGGGTTTTCTGAGGCCTCAAAGCCTGCTTTCAGCATTCATACTCCGATGTGAAGGTGCTTGGGTAGCAAGCTTCAGAGAAAGCCGAGAACTTGCAAAGCTTTACCTAAGCTCTGAGGCTCAGCTTGTTGAAATGGAGCGTGTGCTGGCGGGGGCCAAGAAAGAAGGATCATTCCTCGGTATCTTTGGGTTTGGCAGAAAGGCCAGCTGTTAGATCAGTCGAAGATGAGGTGACGATGCAACCCCGGCCGTGGCCTTGTTTTGTCGTGTTTTCTGCCTCAATCCACCGAAGCTAGCTACCAGTCCAGCAAGCTGTTGCCAACACCTCAATTGTAGTTCGTAGTCTTCATACATCTTTGTTTGTGGTACTAAAGTTTTGGAATGCCGGATGATCATTGACTGGATCTTTGCGCAACGTCCTGTTTTCTAGTACCGACCCATACCCTCTTCGGATCGAGGCTTCTTCGCCTTGTAAAGCAAGAGTTTTGCGTGTCAAGGCGTCCCAGAAGCCAGGAATTTTCCTGAAGGAGAAAGAAAAGCGACTGAAGCAGGCTGAGGAGCAACATGCAACATGTCAACGACTCTAGAAGGAATTCATGTTCTTGACACCTGGCAGCCTCGTGCCACACCCCTGAGAGGCAGCAACGGCCCAAGCAAGCAAGGCTGGTGATGTTCTGCGCCACGTGACCTCCATGCAGGAGCGATGCAGAAATATGCGACGCACCTGTGTCTTTGTGCAGTGTACGATGCGGAAGGCTGCTTTTGAGATCTCTGGGCTGGAGACCTGGCAGCAGCCGTCCGCCCGGCGCGTGTAGCAATTCACGCGCAGTGCCTCGTTTATGCATTGGTTGCCTTCACATTCCAGGCAACCCCCGGCGAAGGCTTTGTGCCAAATTGCTTGCCTGCCTTTGTCGCAACACCGTACTCCAAGAAAAATGACAGGTCAAAGCCGTCACGAATACCAGGCCTGCTTTGCATTGCAGGGTCTCAGTAGTGAAGCCTTGCCGACTCAAGGTCGCAGCAGCTGAGTCCATTAGCAACTTCAGTGAACACGCAGGACATCAGGGCATAGATTGAAGCTTGACGTGCCGCAGGGTGCACAATGCCAGGACCTGTCCTTTCAAGCAAATGCAGAGTCAAGTGACAAGGAGGAGGACGAGGAGGAGGAGCCATGGGAGTCTTGTGCCATCAACGGTCGGCTGTAATCCATTGACAGGATAACGCAGAAGAGGAGATTGCTATCTCATCCGATGTTGAGGCTTTTTGCGATGTGTCACTGCCGAGGGAAAGGTAAAAGGTTTGAGAGCATGCCTCTGCTGAAGAGTCCAGAGTACACTCATCGTGGGTTCGACAGTGAGCTGTTCTTGTTGTCCTGGGTTTGATAGTGATGCTTGCCGCATGCCTTTCTGAGCTTTTTCTTTGGCGTGGCCATGCACTTCTGCCGTATGGAAGTTGCTGGAAACCAAAGAAGCATTGGACCCCTGGCAATCCTGAGCCACAGAGGCAATAAGGCAAAGCGCGCTGCTAACAAGAACCAGCAGCAGCACTTTGTTGCCGAGACAACTAACAGCACTGAGAATGCCAAAGTCTTGACACGAGTGTCAAGTGAAACCTCGATCTTAGCATATTCCGTCATGGTAGCGGCGATAGCAGGCCAACCCAAATTAAATCAAAAACAAAAATTCAGGGTTGGCCAACCTTCAGAAAGGAACAGTGGCTGGTTCACATGGCACCACAGGAACATCAAAACATTTTGAGGACAACGCTTAACAACCAGGACATGAGGAGCAGGCAAAATCAGTTGCGGGCAAACTTTGCTGGAGAAAACCTTGCTGGGTATGCCCATGCGAAGTGATGACTGGCCAGCTGGCGGTGATTGCCTGACAGTTGCGCAAATGAGCATGGAAAGAGGCCTTTCCCCCACACAAATATTATCGTTTCCGGATGTCAGGTCTTCCGCAGCTTGGAGATGGTGCGTTTCGTGCGGTGGCTTTGCGGCCTGCCGCTCGTGGAGCACAATCTTCATTTTGAGGCGCCAGCAAGGTGTTTCTCAGGTCCCTCATGCCAGGTCGTGTTTATCGCTTTAGCCGCCAGGAGGGCACTACACAAGATGTTTGCCACGGCTGCATTGAAATAGGTGAAAGCTCTTGAAGCGTCTTAATTCTCTTGTCTTTTTTGCAATGATTTCATAGATGCCCACGGCAAGCCACCATCGTTGCATTCTGCTTTTGCGGCTTTTACGGCACGTTCTGCTTTTTCTTGCGGCACGCGGAGGCCATTGTCCAAAGCCTGCAATTTTCAGGGAATGCCTTCTGCACAAAAAACATAAAACAAGCTGCCTGACAATGCGTGGCACAGAGGACGGTGCTCAGTGCATGTGGAAGTCCCTTGTGTTGGAGTGAAATGGATTTGGCATGCCGTTGAAGCGCACTAAGTGTGGCCTTCAGAGCGACTGCGGCGGTCGGAGCATGCAGGAGGTTGCAGTGCTTCAACAAAAAACCAGCGAAGTGTTGTAAAAAAGTATGCGATTCAAGTTATCGGTCCGTTTAGGCTTGGTGGCAGGGACTGTTTTCTAGAAGCTCCAATTGCCAATTGGAGGCTAATGCTATTGTTTAATATTGTATGAGAGGCAGAGGTTTTTCCTGGTCCTGCAATTTTTGTCTAAGAGCTTGTCGGCAGATATGTAGCCTTCTTCTTTGCCCCTCATCTCGGAAAGTCCGTTCAGTTGATTGGTGCCACCCCGATGCATTGCCCGCGATTAGATTATCACGTGATTGCAAAGACAAAGTCGGCAACGTGGCATGGGTTTGAGCCATAGCTGTTTTCCAAATGTAAACTCCAAGCAATTGGCTAGCCTTTCGACAGCCGAAAAAGCTTGCAACAAATCAAGCTTTGAAGCTTTTTTATTTGATCTGTCTCCTGCAGGCCGCGTGCAGGATATTCTGCGAGGCATGCGTTTGGACGGTAGTTGGAGAGACGAGACAGATCAGGGCAGTGGCTGAGTCATCAGGGGCAGAACCTCAACAGAAGATTGCATAGCACTGCGATTGCTTTTGTTACTTTTGGGTTTGAGGTTCTGAGGTTGCGGCATTGCGGGCTGGCAGCATGATTACTAGGACAGAGCCGCAGGTATTGCAGCCACTACAGCCACCTGCTGGTGTTCGAGCAGCCAGACTTGGTGTCCTGCCATGGAAATCCTTGCCTTACTATCTCACTGCTAGCAGCTGCTAGCAATGTCGTGCAACAGGTGATGGCCATGGGCAACCAGACCTTTCCCAAGCAACTTCGACCTTCCTGGAGCTTCAGCTTGGCCAGGCGGTCAAGCCAAGGCTTTTGTAACACCGATGGTTGTTCGACAGCAGCCCGACAGGTCTCTGTGTTGCACTGTGAGGGCTCGCTGGTCGATGCTGTGGAAGAGGGCTTTGCAGCCATGCACGCGAGGCCAAGATTCGCGTTGAGCTTCTCGAAAAGTGTCTACTTGCTGGGGTGTGTATCTCCAGCTTGTCCGGCCAGCCCGGCAAGGATGGCTCAGCCCCCTCTTCATGTTCAAGGCGAGAGGCGTGAAGCTCTGTACCTTGCCTGCCGCCAGCTACTTGTAGGTTCAGAAATTTCAGAGCATGTTCGGAGATGGGCTTCCGGACCTGCAGCATCCTGCAGCTAGGCAACATGCCTTTCGCGAGCTGAAGAAGCGCCAGGCAGGGTGACAGAACCAGAAAGATCAGCGTTCGCGAGCTTGCCGAGTGTCTCCTCCAAGCTCTGACAATATGACAAGGCGAGCTTCAAGCGCCAGAAGGCGAAGCTTCTTCTCGAGCAGCAGCAGTTCATCAGAGATGTTCAGCAGCTCTGCACCACCATCTTGCATATTCTCGATAAATTTGCCGTTCAGCTAAGGGATCGACGGAAGCCTTTGACAACGCAAGTGAGGTCCCTAGTTTTTCTACTACCAGGGTTGAGGTTTCTGCAGAGCCTTAAGGCTGTGACCTTTCCATCTGCACTGCGCAGGCGGAAGGGAAAGACTCTTCCTTGTTCAACAAGATGCATTGTCTCATATTTTTATATTCTCCTGCAATAATCCAGTGCCTGCATAATTTTAGCATGAAAGTCACGCCCTTTTTGTCAGAAAAGACCCGCGGAGTAGACCCAGAAGAATACACCGTTTTAAACTGACTGAGAGCTTTTGCTTACCAGTTGACTTGGCCCAGGATGAACACATATGACAGCCCAGACAAGGTCCGCATGACAGCCATTGCGCCGAATGGTTTTCTTGAGTTCCGTTCAACTTTGGCAACTGGTGCCTTCTGTCGTGGTGCAGGACCGTTTGTGCTGCGCTCAATTGCAACTTCTGAGCGCTTCTTCTGTGACATGAGAGTGGCCACTGCACAGGCCAACATCTGATGTTTTCCGTGATCTGCAGCCTCTCCTGTGCTTCTCCCAGATCAGTGCAATTTTCATGTCAAAGTACTTGACCTAGTGCCAGAAATGGAGGTATGTAAGAGTCAACCGCAGAAACCAGTGTTAAGGGCAGGCAATGACTGTTGTGCAGACTGGTGAGCATGGTCAGGCATGTTTTAAGCAAAGGCATCAAATGACGGGTCCAGACGTCGCCATCTCAACTGGCACCCCAATATCTTTCCCGGTAGCTTCGATGAGGCAGTGGCTTGGAATGGCAAAGCTTTTGACAATCATGACGTTGGTGTCGTTCAGCAGGTCTGGGCTTGAACATGAGGACAGCCCAATATGTCGTGGCGATCGCCTCACCAGAAGTAAGCCTCCATCATTAACGACTGGCACCATTGCAAGGTGATACCGAGGGAGCACTGGCCATCCGGCGCAAGCTGCTGAGTCCAACCCTCCGAGGCCATCTTGCTCTGAGATGCCGAATGACAAGTAATGTGAGTGCATCAAGAGGAAGGCAGCTAGGAGCAGCATGCTTACAGCGAGCTGTCCATTCAACTGCCTGAATCCAGGCGATACCGACGTCCTCAGAATCACTTGAGCGCTTCATCCCAACATCCAGCCCACAGCATCCCGGCCATTCCCTCTTGGACTCATTGAGATTAGATAGACACGGAATGCCCCGACCGTGCTTCATTCTTGCAGATGCCACGAAGGTGCACCCAGCTAATGCTTGCCAATATTTATGTACACAACTCTCTTCAAGTGTTTTAGGTAAGAAGAACCATGATCCCCCTCTGCAAAATGCTGACAGGACTTTAGATTTTAGGGCACGAGTAGGACCCTCCTCAAATATGGCATGCACGGCCTTTTTCTGGAACTACATGCAATTGAAGCACGGATGTTATTGTGGTTTGGGCATGGATGCCCCCCTGGCGAAGACGGACTGCAATCCTCATAGTGCGGCCAGGGTGTAACTGCATGGCCCTTCTTTTGATGAGCCTTGCCACTGCCACGCCCACTGTGGCGCGTGAGTCATGCAGGCCAACAAGGTTAGGGCAGCCTTTTTGCAGACGCAGTCGCATAGCCCGGACAATGCCTTGAGATTCCTCTGTTTCCTCACGTTGGGTCGGACTTGCGGTGACTGGCGTTTGCAACCCATGGTAAGTTTGCACTCTTGCACTCTGTAGCCAGATATGTTCCAATGCATGTGACGGAGTGAGTCCACTGATGAGGTTCAGGACTTTTCGCCTTGCGCTGAAATGCCAGCACCGTCATCATGCACATTACCAGCACGGCCTTAGCACATGTTCCATTGGTTTTTTCAATGTTTCTTCATGGCCAGCACCTTGGATGGTATCTTCTTCCCTTGTCCACTCTGTATTGTGCTTTCAGATGCTGCTGTACTTGCTTGTCAGCAGTCCCGCTCGCAGCTTCTTGCTTGGCAGCAGACCCGCCCGTGGCTTCCTCTGTGCCTCTAACTTGGCCGCCTGCAATGCACCATCCGTATATTACTCTTGATGCCCTTGACTCCAGATTAAGACGAGCTGAACACACGGTTGCTAGGCTAGACAGACAGCTCCGTCTTGCCCAGCAAGCCCGGATGCATCTCCAGAACTCGGCCGCCAGTGGCAATCATTTGAACGCTGTACATCAACAAGTGACGCAACAAGGGAGCAGACTTCATGACCTTGAATCGGCGGTGGACATAGTCACGCCTTTGGGTCCGCAACTCCGCAGTGAGATTGCTCAGCTTGACTATCGTGTATGGTCTCTGGAGCGCAGTTATGTCAGGACCCTTGTGAACACTGTCAGACGTCGCTGGCGTGAGGCTGCTCACCTGTGCCGCACTTTGGCGAGCGCCTGCTGAAGACCTGCGACAACCCTCTGGCACCGCGTGTTCAGGATCCTCCGTCTCGATAGTGAGACGGCCTAGCTTGTGTGCTCCTCTTTGACTCTGTAGATGTGGTGCTGCAACAAAGTGAGATGTCATTCTGCTGCATGCAATTTGAGTTCGCTTGTGCGATGCAGTACCTAACGAACCCTCTGCCTCCCTCCTGTCTCTGCCGATGTGTCCCTGCTTAATTGTCTCAGGTCGACTGCTGGCTCTGTGTGCCTAGCTCAGTCCTGCTGCTGTTCAGTGACAACGTGTAGCTGCGACTAGACCTCTGCATGCAGACTCCAGCCTTGTAGCCTCTTCCTCATCTCTGCTATGTGCCATGACTGTGGTGCAAAGAGAGCTACGTCGTCCCTGTGACTGTCCTGACTCTCAAGCCTTAACAGTGTGCCCTAGTACCCTTATCCTCGCTGTGCTCTCTACATATGACGGAACATTCGGCCAAGATTGCCCGCACCTCCTCACGGGAGGAGGGAGAATACGTCAGCGGTCAACCGCAAGTGGTATTGGGTACGCGCTAAACCTCTCGAAAGTTTGTCTTGGAGCTGGGCATGGCACACTGCATGGCGTTCCCTAGAACTTCAACGACGGAACGGTGCCTCAATGCCATCAGAGGATGTTACTCCTGCGTTTGAGCCTGCCCAACTGACACGTGGCCCTGAGCGTAAGCGCAACGATAGCCTCTGAGTGCCCATTGTGCTTGTCAAGCCCTAATTTGCTTTCCACAAGGTGGACATGTGTAGAGCATGCTAGTGCCGTGCTTCATGTAGCACGAGCCTGTCTCTCTGACTGATCTGTGCACCACTCCTCTGGTTTGCCGTGGTAGCTGGTGGCTCAACACTCCTGCCTATCTCTGCCTGCCTGCCTGTGAGCCTTCAGCCTCTCCTCTTGTCTTGCATTTCTTGCCTCCAGCCTCAGGCGTAGCTTGTTCAGCTTGTTCATCTAGGAAGAAACTTGCCTTAGCGCTGAGCCTCTCAGCATCTTGTCCTTCTTGTCTCCAACCTCAGGCGTGGATGTTGCAGTGCTTCGTTCTGAACCCAGCTTGGTCATCTAGGCAGAATCTTGCCCTGGCGTTGCACCTCTCAGCATCTTGTCCCTTTCAGTGTTGGGTGCATTCTTGTCCTCGCAACCTGCGCCTCTTGTGTTGTGACAGCGATGACCCTTTCTGAGACGGGAGCTGTTTTGACCTTCTGAGATCTGACTGAGGTGAAACTACTCTTGGTGTGTGCAAGTGGAATAAACGGCGTGTTGAATGCTTGTTCTCTGTCAGCTCGGTGCGTGATGACATGATGAGATTCAGTCTCACCTTGGTGTGACCATGGTGTGACCATGATGACCCATTTTGCGGAGCCGAGTTGATTACTGACGTGACTGATGGAGATACATGATGAGCCTTCCTTTCTGAAGTGCATGCGTGGAGACACTTCTCCACCATTCGGTTCTGATTCTCCTGCGTCAATGAACTTGCGTACATCATGCTGTTGTCAGAAATAGTGTCAGTCTGATGCTGTCAGGAGATTGGTCAGCAGCAATTGCCCCCTGTGACAGGTCAGTGCGTGCCGTGTAGCTTGGTCTGTCATTGGAATTGCAAACTGCACTTGTTTGAAGGTACATGAGCGCGTTTCACATTGCTGTTTCGTCTGAAAATCGGATGAGCTACAACGCTAACTTGAGCGGTGCGACAGTGCGCTAGCGAAAAAAAATTGCGTCATTCCTTGACGGCCTTAGCTGACGGCAGCTACGAGTGTACCGGTGACCCCGAAGTTGAGCAACTGAAACACGCCGTGAGGCAGCATCGCTTGTACATATTCGCTTTAGCCGAGACGAGATTAGCCAAGAATGGATCGGCGCGTATAGGAGACGGCTATTGGCTGGTTTTTGTCTGGGAATGGGGCTAGAAGGAATTGGATTTGTTTTGAGCCCGGCAGCCTATGTTGCGTGGGAGCACGCTTCTGAGCGAGCACATTTCTGGCCGTCTAGGGGGTTATTGCATATCATTCTCGCCCTTGATGGGCACCAAGGGGTGTGGCACCTTGCGTCTGTTTGCGGTGCGACCATGCAGTGCACAGCTGCTGACAAGGCAGACTTTATACAGTCTTTGGAATCCTGTTGGGACTCAGTCCCTGCAGGGGACGTGGCCTATGCAGTTGGGGATTATAATTGTAAGGTTGGTTTCCGTGCCAGAGAAGGGGCTCTTGTTGCCCCGGCTAATGGTTAGGACCTCACGGTGTGGGGCTTGCAAATGAAAATGGCTTGAATTTGCTTAATCTGGCATCGACAAATCGTTTGCAGATTTTGAATACATTTTTTGCCCATGACACAGAGCATCTGTGGCCACATGGCGGCGCAGGCGTTGGGGTACCTACGGCATGCTGGACCCTGCTGTTTGTCGGCAAACCTGTGCTCGTTTTGTTTGTGACGTTCGCGCCCTCCCTGGAGCAGAGTGTAACACAAACCACTCCTTGGTGATGCGACTGCCTGCGTGCCCTGAGAGGAGTGCAGGCCTTGACCCAGGCATACCACTACAGCCTTCGAATGGCATGCAGCAGCGCCATTGCGCATTCAATGTTACGGCGCTTCAGGACCCAGTCGAGGGGAATTTTGCACCGTTGTCAGGGGCCTTGCGGCGTGCTGCTGAGACTGCTCGCCCCCTTGTTGCTTCGCCTGTTCCTGACTGGATGTCTGAGCACACTGATGCTCTTGCCGCCGCGGCGTTTGCTCACCAACTAGCTCTTGATGGGTCCCGTGCTGCTCCTGATGATGCTGCTTTGAAAAATGCTTTAAACGAGGCTTGACACGCTTGAGGCGATGTACGAGGCCACGGTCGCGGAGCCTTTCAGCTTCCTGTACATCTACCTGGAGGAGACGTTCCACATCCGCTTCAAGCGCGTCTTCTAGCTAGGAAACGCCGCCGGCGCGTGCTCCACAGATGGGGCAGCTGCTGGGGATGGTCTTCAGCAAGCTTCTGGGCAGCAGCACGCTGTTCCACAGCGTGTGCCGGAACATGAATTGCTGCTCCAGCGCCGCTGCGGGCGCGCGCCCGTCCAAGCCGCCCTGGATGCAGCAGCAGTGGCGGGTGCAGCAGCCTCTGTGGACTCCGCCGCCGCCAGTGTGCCGGGCGCGGGCCAGCTGTTTGATAGAAGGAGAAAGAGCATGACCACGATGTGGATCGACAGGGCGCGACGAGGACTTCGAGTTTGACATAGGCGAGACGGTGCACCTGCAGGGCTCCGCGCGGGTCGGCGTCTTTAAGATCAGAGTGGCTGACAACACGAGCACAGACCGCGGCGCCTATACTGGCGGGATACGGCCCTTGGCGCGCTGAACTGGGCGCAGCTGCCCACGAGCGCCTACACGGGCGCGCGCCTGGCCGCGTGGCTCAGAAGCAACTTCACCACTTCGGCGGACGTATGTGGAAGCAACCAACGAGATGGTCGGCTGGCGCGGCCTGAGCAAGGGCTTGGCTGTGGAGGTGCTGAGGTGGATAGTGTCTGCTTTGCTTGGTGTGACGCAAAGTCGCCTTCATACGACGGGTGCCGGGGAGCTGCCGCCTGGGTGTGTGAAGAGCAGCGAGAACACTGGGAGCATCAAGCAAAGATCTGCAGGGAGCGATTGTTCGACCTGGAGGGTTAGGCAGCGCAATTGGATTTCTTCAAGTCTCGTTCGGAGTGGTGCGAGACACATCTCTTACTGGTTTTCTTGGGCATAGGTTTCCTCTGCGGTCTGTTGCTGGGGATCTGCTTTACTTGGTCCTTGTATAGTGGTGGCCAAGTTTGGCGGGTCTGGTGGGCCCTCTAAATCGGAGGAGAGACGTACGAGGGATGTATCTGTTAAGAGATGGTGAAAAATTGGCTGCCGCTAGACACCGTGCTCGTGGTCTTCGAGGAGGACCCAGCCTTGTATCATCAGAGGGTGATCTTGAGGTGTCTTGAAGAGGATAGGGTCTTGGTCGTCACACCTCACAGGGAGATTCATGAAACAGTGTTGGCCGAGGGCAGCGTCTATCAAGAGATCCGAAGGGTGCACAATGGTCGACTACCTGTTGGCGTCGGCGAAGACGTGACTTACCTGGCCAAGAATTCAGATGAGGGGCCTTTTGTTCGCGAGGAGTTCTTGAATCTGTTGCAGAAGGCCGAAGACTGGAGAGCAACTTCGCCGAGGCGGTGTTTGACAGTGAAGTTGGGCGAGGATGGCAAGCGACACAGAATACTTGAGCCAGGAGTATCGGTAGTTGAAGGTTTCGACGCAGGCATGGCTCTAGTGTGGGTCGTCGTTTACAGCTCGGAGGGCGTGGGTTGGGCGATCATCTCGTGCCACCACCATCCGCCCAGCTCCAAAAGGTTGGAGGCCAGGACTTTCGGATCTTTGCGAAAGGTGGGGTTGTGAAGCTTTTCAGGGGCGTAGATGCAGAGGTGGCGCCCGAGGTTGCAGAGACTGTCTTATTTCATTCCGCAGATGAGAGATGGAGGACGATGGCGGAGGCTTTGCCGGACTGAGGAGGTAGAGTACGATGATTGGCCATTGAGTGGGCCGAGAACCTTGTATCGTGACCTGAGGCAGCTCAGGCGGCTTGGGTTTGACTTCGTCCAACATCATGAGAGTTGGATTCGTAAGTCACAGATAGGAGTGTCCATGAACATGCCGCAATCTGCTGCGCCCTGAATTTCATGGCATGTTATGACCAACTCAACCTGCCTGCAAGCGCAGCGCGGAAGCAATTAACCGAAGACGGACTCTCATCGAGGTGGCTCATCAGGGGCGACCGGAGATGCCGTCCTACGAGGCCAGCCCAACCCTAAATGAGCCATTCAGGCCATGGGATTGGGGCATGATAGCATCGGCTTTATGGTCGATGGTTAGATGGTGGCAGCTCCCTACGCTGCGAGTTAGTGCACAGGAAGCTCTTTTCAGGCGCAAGAAATGCTCCTACTACAGACGGAGGCCTCGGAGGTTCACGGAAAAGTGTGTCCTGATGCCTACGTTTTGCACTAGTGAGCGACTGCAGTCATGGATGCTCTGGTAACCGCGTGCAGTCAATGCATGAATATTACTGTGGTTCAGGAGGGTCGAGGCATGATACTCTGCACTTGGAACATGGTACCGAGTACGGTTTCGGCATGGATATTCTGGCAACCACTTGAACATGGACGTTATAATGCACTTTCGACGATCTGACCATGTGGTTCTACTTCTACTCGTTTGAATGGCCCGCTCGGGCCAGATTGCGAGAGCAGTTTGACCACAGTCAAACTGTACGTCGAAGTGTCTAGTTTGGGAATTTTCGGAGGTGTACCCTGATTCGCCAACCTTTCAGGTTTTTCGGACCCCTCTCACAGAGACACGGGTATGCCAAGCGAGACATTATTTGTGGATTGTCTGCCTGGCAAAGTTAGGCCGCTCAAGGAAGATCTCTGGGCCAGCAGCCAATTCCCACGATTTGCTGTGCAGGTTTTGGTGCGTACCGGAGGCAGGAATGAATTGCAGCGCAGCTACACCCTGAAGTCATACAAGCTTGCAGCGTCCTGATATCTGATAGGCATGACACGTGTGTGCTCTGGACGGGAAGCAGCGTGGTGGGATCAGGCATGGACAGCCCCGATCTCAGCCATGGAGTCTTTGAACAGAGTTTGTGTGGACGGTGCTGGTTGTGGTGGTGAGGATGCTTGGACAACCATGTGGATGCAGTCTGCTACCCTCCCTGTGGTCGGGGCCGAGCAAATCAAGCCAATAGCAGCTCCGACTTGCACTGTTCAAGGTTGGGTTCCAGGATGCCTTCTGAAGGGCTGGCAGCTTGCCTGGAGCATCATGCCCAACACGTTCAGGCAAGAGAAGCACGGCTAGTCTTTTGACATCTTTTGACTTTGGACACGGTGTGTGTCTTTGCAGGTACGGGCCCACGGTTCAGACTTCTGTGTGCATTTGGCGCGTCCTGGCCTGAGTTTGGGAGCTGACAATTCCTCTTTGCTCCTGAGGACCGCGCTAGCAAATGCAAACGGCCATGGCTCGAGCGGGGTTGTGTTATCAATGATACACCAACAAGCACCTTCGTAGGGCAACCGTGGCTTTTTGTGGGTGTTGCTTGTTTCCAGCACCAAGGTGAACATTGACTTTGTGGACGGCATGCCCGTGGCTGTCGAAAGACTATCCAAGGTTATGTTTGTTCGTGGTCCGATGATGTCCGATGCCCATTGCACTGAATCTCATGGCAGACATGGCAGGTGCCGGTTCGAGGCCTTGCCGTCGATTGCGCAGCTCACGGCGAACCATTTTGCATCATGTTCTGGCCTGATGCAGCGGGCTGAGTGCACATTGGAAGCCATGTCCCCCATCTGCCACAAGCCACCAACACTGCTGAGATAGCTCCACTTGCAGAAGATGACAGCATCGGCCTGGAAGTGAAGCTTGGCGGACTTACAGGCAAGGCAAAAGAAGCACACGGCTCGCTCCTGGACATTAAAATTTGTCATTTTGCTCAGGTCCACAGGCGGAGCTGAGCTTCTACTATCAGGCTTCCTGATACGGCTTGATTCCACGTATGAAACTTCGGTCTGCTTTTCCGCTGCAGGTTGCTCCATTCAGGCGCGACGACATGTACAAGAAAATGCAGGTTGAGGCCGCAGTGATTTCAATCACGCCGAGGGCCGCATGCCGCTCGCATTTAGGCTCGCCGGCTCAACGAAATCGTTGCGAATCCTTGTCTGTGGGCTGGCAGCTGGGGCCTTGGTGTAGGGGCAGAGTCAGGAGTCGGCATAGATCTTTTTGAGTTTCAGGTTCCCTGCCTGTAGAGAGACCATCGCGGCGGCTTCGACGAGCGCTTCTATCTGCAAGCAGGGGAGTCAAACTATGCTCTGTTAATGATGACTTTAGCTCCTCTGGACTGTGTGCTGAAGCAGTGCAGATATGATATGAACACTGAACTGCAATGCGGGCTTACGGAAGCGGCTTACCCTCTTGTGCACATGGGCCTAGCTTTGTATTGAGGACCGGGCAAAGTTTTCTTCTGTTTTGCCCAAGAATCGCAGAAATGTTGAAGAGTAAGACCTGCAGAGTCTCGTCGCTACCACTGACGTGTCCAAGGCAAGTGATTTCCTGCAGCAGCAGAGGAGTGTGCTTCAGCCGCTCGTCTGGTGTTTTGGTGCATGAGGGTTTCAAGCGGTCCTCAATGTTAGGCCTATGTCGCACCCAAGCATGGACATCATTGTTGATGGAGTGGCGCCAGCCCCAGTCTAACCATTTGAGGGCCAAATGGTTGGCTCTCGTCTTGGTCAGGATTTGATCGTGACTATCCGTGCACCAGTACAAGCAGTGAATGCTGAGCAATGAACTTAGCCTGCCTGTTGAAGGGCCCAGTCCCACGGTCAATCAAGCGTTGAAAGCAAAGGGCTTTTGAAGTGAGACGGCCGCGAGCGTGGTCATGATTCGGAGGCTGCATGTGGTCCGATTTGGTGGTGATGCAGATATAGTGCCCAGGGCTGCGCAAGCACAGATCTCAGCATGAAACGTCGCATTTACGCCATGCAGGTTTTGTAGGTTTCTTGTAAGACTGGCAGGCTCAACGGTTGCCGAACTGGAATTTCCTTATTCGTGTCAAGATACCCTTGCCGCTGGAGCCTGAGAAGGAAGCACCACAAAGCATCGGTTTTGAGAAGATAAACCTGACAGGCGCGCGAGATACCAGCTGCGAATCCAACCGCAGTCCCTTGAGGCCAACAGTGCCATGCCATTAATTTAGAGCATCGGTTTCTGCAGGATGGACCTGGCTTGTGCTACTCAATCACCTTCAATGTTCTGGCCTTGTCTGGCCTTGGGGAGAACAAGGAATGTGATGCAGAAGTGTTGCAAAAGTATCTCACTTCGAGGAATCGACTCGAGTGCCCGCACTGCTAACGTCCCTGGACGTTCCTTGCCAGCAATGCTGGATTGGCAAAAGACATTCATGATGTCGTATGATGTTACAATGTTGCCTTTTCTGAAGGAGCCCTTGGCCTTGAAGTTCGGGTATGCGCCAATGACGGCCGCAGGGCAGGCCGATGTGAACTCCGACATTATCCGACTCAAGCGTGTGTTTGGTGTGTGCCTCTTGAGGTTCACGGAGTTGTGTTGCTGAGTCCACTGATGCGGATGCCTCAAGGTAACCAAGCCTGAATGCGAGACCTTGAATTGTATGCTGTAAGGTTCAGAATACCAGCGGGCACAGCGTACTTCCTCATATGGATAAACAAGGACAGCAAGCACATGCAAGCAGCATCCATCGAGTTTTTGAGATTTTGCATTGCCTTGCAGGCTCTTGCCTTGGGCAACTTGGGCGAGGCGGAGGAGGCACTCAGCACTGTTCTCAGCACTGTGCTCAGCAGGCTCTGAAATTGAATGCCAGGATCACGAGCCGTCAGGCGGCCAAGCACTCGGAATGGTACCGGGCGTCTAGCCGCTAGGCACCAAGATGGTCAGACTTGGTGAGACATTCAAAGGTCTTACAAGCTTGTTTTCATCGCGATTGGGCGCCATGCCACCGTTGAAACCCTTGGACAGCGTCAGGTGCTCAATGTGCTCAATCGGCCACGCTTTGGCTGCAAATGTAACCTGTATGCCAGCAGAAAATCATCAAGGCAAAGCTTCCAAAAGCAAACTCTTCAAAGAGCCAATCAAAGCCGCGCGCCTTTTCTGTTGCTTTTGTGCAGTCGTGGTGGAGGTGCCGTGATTGTTTATTGGCGGGTGAAGTGCACTTGACGCCAAGGAGCATGACAAAGGATCGAAGATCTGTCTTGCAGCTGCTGCAAGCTCAACTGAGCGGTCATCTTGGGCCCTATGTTCAGGCCCTGTTGAAGTGCTCATCTCATAGATCTAGCAGCGTTGCTCAAGTGCTGAAGGACTCTGCAGGAGACGTTCATTTGGATGTGTCGTTCAAAGATGGGAAATGCTAACTCCTTAGCATTGAAGTGCATTGCGTCCCTGGAAGATTCTGCTTTCGAGCATTGACATTGCTTGATGCTTAAATGTTTGTGTGTTGTCGCAGGAGCCTTGTGGAGGTTGTTGCAGTGTTGTTGCGTAAGACTGTATATGCAGTACGTGCGTCGACATGCGCACAATCTAGAGAAACCCCCAGAACTCGAAGTGGACTTTTTCTAGATTGGCACTGGCCACTAATCAGTACGAAGCTCCAAGGCGTGCGGCGACTCCAGGAACGTGATGGCCCTAGCATGCCAGGCTTGCTGAAGCTTGAGATCCAAAGCTGTCATCTGAAGGTGCTGACATGCCAGGCTTGTTTGAGGGCTTCTTTACTTTTGGACAGGCCGGTAGCATATGCCTTCTCCTTGACGGGCTGAGCATGCGACGCAGGTTGATGCGCAATCGAAGGTCAAGCTTTTTCTCCGCCTGCCAGGCACAGAGGGTAGCCGATACATCCGGCTGAGGCACAACGCTTGCACTGACCGGAAGGCGTGGATGCGGATGGCTACCGGCCACGATTGCTGTGTGAGTGGCTCATTTGTCCGCCTCCTAGCTGCTGCCAGGGTTTTTTCGACGTAGATGCTGGCAAACGTGAATTTGAGAATCTGCGATGAATACGAGATCTGGGCATTGGACAGCGTTGGAATCTTGATGAATGTGATTGTGTGGATCTTCGTGATCAGGCCGTGCACACGGCGAGCCATTGCCAAAAGGATTTACATAGCCAAACCAAGCACGTGTAGCTTTCCTTTCTGTGAAGTTCTTTGTGAAGCTCTCCTGTGACAGAGTTTTTCCGTGCCCGGCACTGAAGGTGCTGTGCGGTGCTACTGATAATGACTCAAAGATCAAAAGCTGGCAAGATGCCGGTGGCGAGTAGCGGAGTAGCGGCACAACAACATGTTGGCAGTCAAACATACGTAGCGCGTAGGGGTAGATTCACGAATCTCTGATGATATCTGGTCATTGAGACTCCTGTCGAAGGAGTGGCCAAAAGGCTATGCCAGGAAAGCCTTGGCGGAGTTCTTCTTGAAAAGGCACTAGGAATTTGGCAATTTTAAGCAAAAGCGATACCTGGCGATATGCTGCATGGCAGGTATGACGATGCTGCGGAAACCTACCGAAAGGGTCTCGAGCTAGCTCCCCAGGACATCCGCAGCAACTTGCTATCGCGCGCTTCACAGACGTTTTGTTTGGTGACAGGATGTGTCTATGAAGGAAGGTCTCCAAAAGGCATGACTAAGCCAAGGAAAATGCCTTCGCTCTTCGTGCGCTTTTGCAGGTTATGGATGCCACGCACGTTCATCGGGGACATGGGCCAGAAGCTTACGGCTAGCTGCTGTTCTGCCTCACTGCTCCAGCTAAATCTTTCATGCCCAGATTTAAGGCTTTCTCACGAGGCAAAGAAGCTTGTGCAAGCACTACTGCTCCCTCCGTTTTCTTCCGCATCGGTGTAGCAGTAGGAGGCAGATGACTTCTTGGGCAAGGCACATGTTGGTGCATAGCCAGCAGATTTGACTGCCAGTGCATTGGCGCAGTTTGACGCCAACTCCCTCACGGTTGCTGCTGCAAGAAATCCTCGGGTCAAGACGTGAGCAATGCAGGTGAATGCGCACGTCCTCACAGAGACTCCGTCATGAGTCTACTGCAGGTACATGGAGGATCCTGAATTCATGAAGAAGCTCACCGCCCTGATAGGAATGGGCAGCTGCGTACCAAGATCTGAGGAGTGTGGACATGGATCTCAAACACAAAATCTTCTGAAGCCTCAGGCTGTGCAAGCTCCGCCAGGGAGCACATGGCGACACAGCTGGTTCGCTAGGACTTCCATCTCCCAGTGCAAGCAGCCTCTTCAAGAGTTCGTTTGGCTCATTTAGGACCCTCGCCTCTTGGAGGCCATTTCAGAGTTGAAGACTTCTTGCAAATCACATTAGATGCTGCAATGGCCAGGTCATCGCCGCGTCACAAGGCCTCGTGGTCAGAACTTCCGAAGACTGTGCAGGAGCTCCAGAGATGCCGGTGTGAGCCTGACGAGGGGCGTTTTGCACGCATCTGCGAGCAGCCCACCTGCGCTCAAGGTGGGGTCCAGCCCACCCAAGCCCCAACCAAAACAAGCAGAAGCGGATGATCGCACCTCAGTTGACGCTCTGGTGCTGTTCACCTGCCCATGCAGCCACACGTTGCTCATGGCCGCATGTGCATTGCTCGAAGAGCCGGCGGCTGAAGAGGGAGCCAAATCCTTTCATGCAGGCCCCTCCATCCCCAGGCGCTCGGCCATGGAAGCTCCAGAGCCAAACCTCTCCGCCAAGCCACAGGAATGAGGCAGATAAGGCTGGGCTAGACCCCACCAAAAAAAAGTCAAAAAAAAAGCTCTTGATCTTGGCCATGCTTGATCCCAAGCTTTGCAAAACGGAAGTGTCTTGGGTGGCGCCTTGTTTGGAAAGGGCTGGCACTTGGCTGGAGGGCGTGGTTGGAAAGGAGACTCGGCGGGGGGTTTTGGTTTTCTGGTAAGGGGGTGAGAAAAAATCGAGGACGACCGCCTAGGAAATTGCTTACGCGCTCATTTTTGCTAGATCTTAGCACCAAGAAAGTGTGGCAGCTCGGGCCTGTCAAGATGCTCTCAGGAATTTGGCCAGTCAAGTACATCAGAGCAGAAAGAGGCCTGCACGATGATTCATACTTACGAGGTGCAGCATGCAAGTGGTGTCTAGACTTGAACTGTGAGGCAGAAGAGTTTAAGAAGAAAGGACCTGGAAGCAGCGTAACGCAAGATATTCGCTAGCCCAATTTCAAAGATATGCTCTGACAGGAAACGACTTCTACAAAAAGCAGCTGGTATGCACAAAGGTTTAGGGCGTGCCTTCAGGATTTCTCTGGAAAGCCGACAGTGCAACTTCTTGGAGGCGGAAATTCAGCGAGGCCTTGGAGATGTATGACGAGGCATGGCGACAGACGACGACGTTTGCACTCGACTGAAGCATGGACTACTGATCTCAGGTGCATCAAGCATGCATTTGCAGAATGCATGAACGTTCTTGGCTTTCGCATGCATTCGCCACATAACTTCAGTACACTACAAACGACGCAGCGCAGGATGCCAACGCACCTGCACCCATCTGCTGCTTCCCTGGCGAGCCTTGACAGCCGACGTTGCACACTGCAGCAAACAGTCCCGCATGAAAATCGAAGCTGCAACAGCAAAACAAGCTATGAAAAGCATGTCTTGAGACCAAGAGATTCAGTTTATTGTGAAAGCGGTTCTAAAGGCACTGGTAAAGCACTGTCGCTTCCAGTGCCTGCATGTGCCCGCTTGACCTACTGGTCGTTGTTTCTTAGAGCAACTGTCTGCTTGTCTGCCTCACGTCCTGGAGACCTTCCATGTGTCCATGCACCGTTTGGAAGAGTGTGCATTGCAAGGTAAATGTTGGCCTGTTTGGCACTTACCAGGCACTGGCGAAGGTGCCAGATGACATGACCTTTTACAACAACAAGTGCAGCTCTCAGCTTGGACGATTTTTCACCGAAGAATTGGGTGTCTAGTGCTTTTATGCCAGTATGTCACTGTCCCTTGATGGGCGCGTGAGCTGTGAGCCCATGGCGTAGGGGCCTGATTGAGGTGTGCTGTTTGGATGGAGATGGGGCAGGAAAACTATCCCAAGGCAAATCGCACTTGCTGTGAACAGCCTATCATGCTTGTCCTCAAGGTGCTGGAGACTTGTGTGACACTCAAAACGCCCCACGTGTCTTGTGGTCAGAGTGAGCCCAGAGCCCCGAGGCCAGGATTTGATTTCGAAACGCTATGAGATCAATTCCCGAAACCCGGGAGGGGCCTCCTTCGAGAAGGTTGCCAAGGCCTGACCTCTCAAAGGTACAGTACTCACTCTGTTTCCACATGGCTTTCTACTCTGCAGCACGACAGGTCTACAACAGGATGGCTTCTGTCTACGAAAAGCAGCGAAAGTTTGATGACGCGATTGCTATGTCGGGCGTGCACGATTGCGTTTCCACCTGGACATGGGGCCAAACATGGCCAAGCTTGGAAGGTATAACAAGGCCTTGACCGAAGACAACAGCCGGCAGACTAGAAATGCGCTGAGACAAGTTGAGCGAGCCAAGGACATTTCGATTTGCCCCAGAGCAATGTGTGCAACCACCGATTTTTCATCTCTCGGATGTATTTTGAAGTTATGTTATGTTAGACTACATTGACAGTCGCTGTATCAGAAATCTCAATTGCCTATGGTGTATAATGTTAGTCCCGTACTTTGTACATTAGCTGTCGCAACACCTTTCGCAGGAGAAGCACGAGAAAGAGCAGTACTTAGACGTTACGAAAGCACAAGAACACAGGGAGAGAGGCACTTGCAGAAGCGGCAACTTGTTCTGAACTTCCACTGCGTGAGCCTTCTGGAGGCAATGAGTACTTCAAAGCAAACAGCATGGTGGAGGCCAAGCAGGACACAGTTCGCTAAACAGAACCTGGTCTTGCACACTCCCTGCAGTAGCTGATGTTGAAGTCTCGTGCAGCCTGTTTGGACTGTAGATGACTTCACGGTTGGAACAATTCTTGCAATTCTAGCAACGGCTCTGAATCCCTCCAGAATCTACTTCGGGTCTGTGCTGGCATAATGCTGGCCCGACCGGGACAGCTGGAGCACGGCTAACATCCCTAAGCCTCAAAGCCTTTTCGCTGACCGAACGTGCCGACATTGAAAGATCCCCTGACAGGCCCCTTCAGGTGTGGTCCCTGCCCCCGGGCCCCACGCGCCACGAGTTCACGCCAATTGGGAAAGTGGTTAAAGCCCAAAGAAACGCCTGATACCAGCTAAATTTTCACAAATTCCTCTGTAGCTATGCAACCCATCCATGGTCACGACGATTCCGCCCCAAGTCTCTGCAAGTCCCCCCCGTGTGCAGACTATGTGTGAACTTTGACAAGCAGACGTGGGGGCACCGGCACAGAGACGAAAATGCTAATTCCAAGCCACAGCTGCACGCAGCATCGTTGCTCCGAAAAGGCGTGACTCTAAACACTTAAACCTTAAATCTACAGCTAGAAGCATCTGAAAACCTCTCAAGAAAACAGGTGAAGGATGGACGCGAAAGCATTTGAAGTATTTCGTTGAAACCACGATGAGACCTTCTAAGCAGGGACGATCCTGTGAAGCCTCGTCTCAACAAAGCACTTAATACCTCGGTAGAATCTTGAAATGGCTTCCAGGAGGCTTTCACACGCCTTGCAAGGTTTCATGCGTTGGACGCGACATGCTCAATGATACTAGCCCAGAGCCATTCGCACTGGCATTAGACCTGATGAGATAGAAGTCAGCAATTGATGATGGTCCCTGCTGCATCAAGTTTTTGCCTGGGAGTCTCGGCTGAACGGCTTTTTGCGTTGGCGACTCAGATTTCCAGGTCTACGGGATTGCAAGGCTTGGGGACAAATCACTCTAGTCGAAAAGGTGCTGACAGCCTGCTGGCCCCTCGAGGGCTCAAGTCCACTCATGGCAAAGCAATCCCAATCAAAGCTTCAATTTGGCACAACATTTTTTCAAGCCTCGACCGCCGAAAAGAGGCCTTGAGCAGAAATGGACAAGCTTTTCATCAAGGTTTTGCGTACAACATTGTCTACACTCGTGCAGGGCGTGTGCCGAAGGACAGAGGTCCAAAATGCATCCTAAGCATGTTACCCCGCTTTGGCTTTGGTATCCTTACCATTCCTTGCCCCTTTGAGCTTCAGGCAACAGAAAGCAGGTGGGGGACGAGCAGTTGCCGGTGTAAGACCGTAGAAAAGATGGCATCGAGCTCCGACTCCTTGAGATACCTGGACTAAGCTGACATATTCGAGATGGGATGGGTCCCTGGAATCTGACTTGTTGGATTTTGACGAAGGGCAGCGGCTGAATGAGTCTTTGAACGAACATTGCGTTTCCACTTTGGGATGTCCGTTGTTGGCAGAGTTCCTGTGCAGCCCCTGAAGGAGTATGATGAAGCTATCAGGCGTAATCCGCAGAAGTGACCTCAGAGAAATCACTGCCTGCCTTGTGCATAGCATTTCCTCCGCTCAGGGATGCCAAGCTTTTCTCGAACCGTGCTGCAGCATTCACCAAGGCAGTGTTCGTAATCCAGTTCGCAACACGAGAATTTGTGGTCTGTTCCATGATGGCAGCTTCTGGCTTTTCCGGATGCGCTCCGTGATTTGGACGAGTGCTTAAGGTACATGGAACAGCACCTGCATGACTTCCAAAGTCATTTGAAACTTTGTCCGCTCTTGCAGGCTTGAGCCTACGTTTGTGAAGGCCTATTCGAGGTTGCGCCGCATGTGTCACGTCTGCTGAAAGCTTTGAGATATGGTACAGCTGTTGGAGGAAGGGTGCCGCTCACTTCTACATGAAGGAATACCATAAGGCCGTACCCCACGCGTGTTTTGCATACTTGTGCAATTAGGATTCTGACTGAGGCTCTGGCAGCTTACGACAAGGGGTTGGCTCTTGACCCCGAAAATGTCGAGTGCAAACGTGGTAAGGAGCAGGTGCACTTGCACCTGGAGTGGTTTCCTTATGTGCAGTGCCCCCGAAGACTTGATGGTGCGGTGCAAGCCCTTGACTTCCCCCTGGAGGTGGTAGCAACGATCATGGAATCTCAAGGCCGCGATGTTGACGAAGAGCAGGCACCTTTCTCAGCCGTAGCTGGGCCGCGTGGTTTGAGGCAACACGCAGCTGTGTGGAGGTGCAACATGCGCTGGCCGATCCAGAAATTCAAACAATGCTTCATGATCCACAGGCTGCATTGGACACAGTGTGGATTTTTGGTGGTCTGGTAACGTCTGGTACACTTCCACCTTTCCAGGTACGCCAGTTCCTTAAGACCCTCCAAGAGAACCCAGCAGAGGGCCAGAAGGCTGGCTCATTAGTGTACAATGGGAACCTTCATGAGCTTCATACATGACCATAAGTGATCACAGCTGCGAGTGAAGGCTATGCGAGCGGATCCAAAGCTTGCACAGATAGCTGAGAGCTCAGCGCGATGCACACTTGCAAGGCTCGTGGTTGATACCCCAGGTCTCAAAGCTTGTCGCAGCCGGCATTCTCCGAACCCGTTAATATCTGACGTGACATCTTATGGCTGTGGCGAATGTCCCTCGCTGTGTGGCTGCCTGCGCAGAGTTTGTAGAACGTCAGACTTCTGGCGTTTGCGTTGCTACGGCGATCGTGATGTAGAACATGTAGAACCTGGTTCAGAGCTCCGTGCGAAGCACGTCTCCGGGTTATGGCCACCCTGGCCCCCGCAAGCAAGAACAGGCTGCAAAGCCGCGGCGGATCAGTACCTTCTCGTAGTCGTAGTTGTCTCGTCGGAAAATGCCGAAGGGCAGATTGCCCAACGCCACGCACTGTGAAGCAGAGGTGCAGCACGCCACTTGTCACGTGCTGCACTGCTAGATGCTGCTGAGGCACAGTCCCCTTGCATTTTAAGGGCTTTAGCAGGCTGGACTCCGAGAAGCTTGGCCGACTTCGGAGATGGTGGTGCTTTCCCTGAGATTCCTATGGCGCAGCCACAAACTGAGCTATTTCCTTGCAGCAACCTTTGATCATCTTTGACGCCTTGGGCTGCTAGCTGTTTTGATCCGTGGTCTAGGTACCCGCTGGACATGGGCAAAGCAGGTAAGACACACCAACAGGCACTGCAATGACTTGAACAACTAGTGAGACGCTGCTTGTGATGCATTGCAGGTTGTGGCACTGCAAACGGATGCCAGCGGCAAAATAGCGTGGGATGCAGTGATCAAGCACAAGTCGGCCCTTGACTGAGGCCCGCACTTTCTTTTGCCCTGTGAACAGCCTAAATCACCGAGGACAAGCTGGCTGTGTGGACACGGCCTGAAGACTCCCGAGAGAAGTGGTCGAAGCCCGAGGAGAGAGAAAGTGCCTCTTTTTTTGTGCTGCTGCTATGTTGCTTTGCCACAGGAGCTGGAGCGGCCATCGCTAGAAATAGATATCCTCAATACCGAGCGAACGCAGAAGGCCGGAAAGATTCTGCGAGACTTGCTGGACCTCTGTCAGCTCAACGACAGGCCCTGGAAATGGCACTCAATGGTAAGATTCAGGCAGGAGTGCGGCTTACCTGCATTCGGACTTGATAGCAATCGCACCGTGCATGCTTTCTAGTTTGAGGCCCAAAAAGCAGGAGCAGAAGGACGCTTTGATAACAGATTTGTTGTTCCTGATTCTGCGGCGTGTTCATTCTGAATATCAGAAGATGTCCTGCTTTGCATGTGAGGAAGCTGAGTTCATCCGGTATACGCCGAACCCGAACGCGTTGGCTCCTTGGTACCACATTCCTGCTTGCGAAGATGTGGCTTTCAGCTGAGGCCCGGCTACACCCCCAACTGCCGAGCATCGCTCTTGGCTGGCATACACTTTGACCTCTCGCAGCCCTTTGTTTGGCACAGGAGCGAGTCATCAAACTCGTGGAGAGACCAGTTGATCCATTTGCACCTCCAAAGTTCAAGCACAAGAAGGCAAGCCCGCCTTGTCCTGTGCAAGTTGCAGTCGACCTTGTGCTCTGGCGAGGTTCCTCGCGGACCGCCATCACCCCCACCTCCAGTTCACCACTCACCTCCACGGAAGCTGACTGCCAAGGATGAAATATTGCATGTTTTGCTAGTATCACTTCTGTATAATGATGCTGTAAGCCATGGCCTCTTACCTTGCTGGAAAGGCTGACAGCAAGTGATCATGAGTTTTTTGGGCACAAGTCATGAGCCAAAGATATACGCTGGCAGGATCAGAAGGACTGGAAGATCCCGCCTTGCATCTCCAATTGGAAGAATGCGAAGGCTGTGTGTAGAAGATGTCGCTGACAGGCTGTAGTTCAATGTTGTTCAGGCCTCAATTCACATGACACTAATCATTGCTGTGACGGCGAGGGTTACACGATCCCCCTGGACAAGCGTCTCTCCGCGGACGGCCGAAGCTTGCAGGACAACAGCCGAGGATGTGTGTTAGGCAAATCGCGAAACATGCTCGGCTGGTGTCTAGCCTGAACCCCGAAACGAGCAGATAGTTCCTGAGCCTTGATGCCTGGATGGCCCAGATTGGCTCCCAGAAATCGCGCAGAGCAAAGACCACACAAGTTCTTCTATTTCAGGATGTTGCCGTCAATGACAAGTTTGCTGCAATCAGTGATGATCTGTGCGCTACGAACTGCCTTGGCGAGTAGCTGAGTTGGCATACAGCAGTGAGTGCCAGCACAGGTACCTCGCCGAGCGTAAAGCAAGAGAAGAGATCAAAATCAGAAATGACTTGATTCGGCAGAAGAAGGCTGCTGTGGGCGCTTGCATGCCTAACTTCACAATCCTTAAACGCACATGCAGGAGTGTTCTTGTGCTGGAGTGGCAAGGTGCGCGAAGAGGAGATACGAGAGCAGCAGCTGCGAGACTTGGCGGCGAAGGCTTGGATGTGGCGAAACTATGCGAAGTTGGGTGTTGCAGCCCCTCTGAATCGAAAGGCAAGGCAACAGCGTGCCGAGCTGGCTTCGGCGCCCGCAACTGAGAGCTGGCACAGACGTGCTGCAAACGTCAAACAGAATCATTGTGACAGCAACACCCAGGCCCGCAAAGGATGGGGAGGACACCAGAGAGGCCGATGAAAGGCGGCAGCGTATGGAGGCTTTCGTTTGTTGTCGATGTAGGTCCAATGTAGGCCACGGGATCAGACGGCAAAAGCTGCGGAACATTCGCTGCCAGGTCTTGAAAGATCGACAAAAAGAGATCGAGAGAGACCAGCGCTTGGAATTGGCAGGCTAATAGCTTGTCCGTGTGTGAAGATCAATAAAGTCCTGTCATGATGTCTGTAATTTGGAAGTGCTGTGCGAGTGGGACAGGCAAAAAGAACAAACGTGGCCGTGAGGAAGACCGTGATGTATCGGAGCGTATCGCGCTCGGACAGGCCTGTCTGACCACAACTTGTCAAGCTGCTTGGAAGAGCTTCCACAAGCTTTTTGAAGGCTGCTCAGCCCACGAGCTCAGAAGCCATGTTTGCTCGCGCCCAAGCCCTCTCACAGAGCTCTCACAGAGTTGCTGCAGTCACAAACAAGCCAAAAAGAGAGCAAAGAACTTCGTGGATTGTACGTAGCCAGGATCAGCGTCTCTTCAACCAATCGGCTGGCATGGTAGCCATCTCAGCACCTGGAGCCGATTCGGAAAAGTAACGCTTAAAAGCTGTGCAGCGCAGGACAGTGGGTTCTCCGGGGGGAACGATGAGAAAGTCGCCGTTTACGACAAGCCCCTCTTTGCGGACCGGAGTCAGCGTCGCAGAGAACCCTCAAGCCTTAGTTGCTTTGCCGCAAATGTCCTGTTTCGAGGTCAGGCTGGAATTTACAAGTTCGACAAGGAGCGAATGGAGCAGAACGAGGGTCGCAACTTGATTTCAAAGAAACGCAAAGCTCTGCGTTGGAAGTTGGAAGGGAGCCTTTTTTCGTTGCTGGCGCATGCTAGCGCGATATGCGCGATGTGCTGTGCCAAGGCCTGGCTCACATCGGCGCGTCCGGGGGCATGAAGCCTTGGCACCCAGTCTTGCGCGGGTTCTAGCAGCTTGTCGCATGTATTGCATGTGAGAGCACGTGAGAGCATGTGAGGCTTGTTCTGTTATGCCTGAGGACCAAAAGTTTTGCTGGCGCCGCTGATGCAGATGACCTTCCAAGCAGCTCACGGCGCAACGCACCCGTGGAGTTTGAGCGAGAGGATGCAGAGCCCAGGCGCGCAGATCACGCAGCCAGGAGTCTGCAAATGAAATCAAGTCATGTCCATCAGCCCATCACCTGCAGGGAACGTGCTCAGAGCAGTGCTCAAGGAAGCCAGGGGCCGAGAAACTCCATAAGCTGTTGAGATGTCATGTGGGTCTTTCTTCAGGCCGTGCTAGAAGTCGCAGTCCGCGAAGAAGTCGAGATGAGTTGATCTCAGGTTGATGGGAAACATGCTCAGGTGTCCAGTTGTTGTGTTGCTGTGCTGAAGTCGGTGGATGTCATACCCATGCTGAGGAGGATTTCCCTCTTGACGGCTTGCTGGAGGTGGCGCAGCCAAAGTTATGGCAAGCTTGCATGGGTGGATCATGTCTGTTGAGCTTACATGGGCGGAACTAGCTTGACCATGGTCATCCGGTGTAAGGAATAAGTCTCTGATTCGCTTGCTGCAGGACACCACAAAGAAGAAAAGCAAGTCCGCCCTGGAGCATTTGCATTGTGTAAATTGCAGTGTCAACCCTGGCACATATGATGCAGATTTGTGACTTGCTTAGGTGAGAAGGAGAAAGATGCATGACCCGAGACCCGTTCGGGGCAGGCAGAGCCGGCTTCGTTTGCGGTTTGGGCATGGTTGTGCAGGTTGCGATTTCATGAAGCGGTTTGCATCATGATGCTCTACTTGCACACAGCCCCATGCGAAACATACAGGCATAAACTAGATGAGCATTCAGATTACTGATGCAGTATGATGCAGTGCTGATGCCATACCGTCCGACGTGATTGTATGATATTGTATGCATTGTTGCGTCATGGAGGAGGTACAGAAAGGATGGATCTTGGACCAGCGGGGATGTGTTTGTTTTCAAATTGTTCAAATCTTAACGAACGTGATCGTAAGCCACTAACTTTGAAAACGATGGACAATAACAACACTCTTTCAAATCCGAAATGAATGCTTTTTTCAGACCAGAAGTACAAGCCGCACATCGTATTAAAGAATTACTCGTAGGTTCCCAGAGTCAAGCTCGTTCATCATCGCAATGTTTGCTACCCTATGATCCCTGACTCCTGGGCACAGTATCCAGATTTGGCCTTCCAGGGGACGATTGCCCGGAGGCAAGGCTTCCGCATCTTCTGCATTCTGGGTCTCTGCAGGTGGGGATGTGTTGCGTGCAGTTGCAGGCCGCAGCTGCAGCCTGCGAGCATGGCGTAGTGAGCCATTCCAGTGCTCGTCCGAAAATGTCGTGTATGTTTGGAAAGCAAGTGCAACATCCTACCTACAAGAATGTGCCAAGGATGTTTGCGATGTCTGTGCATAGGGTCCCTTGGCTCACAGCAATGCAAGCTAGGTAGTTGAAACCGAGATGCCAAATAAGAAGGAAGGGATGTTGGGCACATCCTTGCAGACCCCCTACAGTGAGAAAAGCAGGCGTTGCAGGATAAACAGCAGAGCAGGACTCCGGTGATGGCGAGGAGCTTGGGTTTGCGCCTCAACGCTCTGCTGCCAGGAGAGCATGCTAGCCGGTGGACAGCTTGTGCTTTCTTCTAGCGATTATTCTCGCAAGCTTGTCATGGCATGGGTTGTCCAAAGATATGCGACTGGCACTGGGCAGCAAGGAGACAGATGCAGATTTTGCGACATGCTACATAAGGCAGGTTGACATCAGTATATCCTTCACTTTGTTCCGTGCCAGCAGAAATGGATGCATAATATGCGTGCGCGTTTCGTTCAGGCTCCTTTGCCGATGTTAAGTATGAGCTCTGACATGCTGAGGTCTAGAAGCCAGCATTTGTGCGCGGAAATGATGGCCTGGGACTCATGAATCCAGGGGTGTTTGTGACAGGACTTTGTGGGGGTTGTCGTGCAAGCATGCGCTGCAAGCTGAAGCTTTTCACCGCAGCTACCGTAGCTAGGCTGAGTGTGGTCCTGCAATCGAGGGAGATTTGAGAGGAGAGAGGGAGAGGCCAGCGGGGAGGTGTGATCAAGACTGAGCAGGTAGTGCAATGCATCATTTGGCTGTCAGGTATGGCGGCGGCAAGTCAGAAGTACACATCGGCACAATATGATGTGACTCAGGAAATAGCTATCATTGTTGTCAGTACTGTCAAGGCATCATCAACATCTCTATTCTGACTTGAAACCTAATTCTCATCGCACCCGTATTCTAAGTCCTATTGTTTTTAATCTCGTTCTGATGAATGTCAGCATCGGCAGAGTTTGCCATGTGTCAGACGTCGACTACCATCGGTGTTGGGACATTGCCTGACATGCTACACACATCCACCTTCTTCCATGTATGGTGTTCCCATCATCATTGTTGCCATTAATCATGATCGCAGTAAGCGTCAGCATCCTCATTGTCGAGGCAAGGCCATTCTCTGTAAAGAATCGTGAAGTCAGCATTTTCATGATGCGTCGTCTGGCGCTCATCTTCTATGATTTCATCTTTCTGTTCATGTTTGCCACCTACCTCTACGACAGTCCCAAGTGCCATCAGCAGCTTTCTCAGCCTCATCCTCGCCACCCAGACTACCATCACAACAACTACTACTATTGCTGCTGCTGCCACTACTGCTCCTACTGCTGCCTCTGTTGAGTCTGGGCTTGCAAGGACAAGGATGCTCGGCAAACACTTCATGGTCAACCCCCTCCATCAGGCCGCGTCGGCTGACCAACTTCCAAGAATGTCGTTCATGGGTCAAGCTCTACAGCTGCACAGATGCTGCCAGGTGTGCAACACTGCTAGACTGCTAGGCGTACTTTGCCCGGCCTAATGATGGCGTGCAGACCGTGTGCATCTCATCAAGAAGCATCCTCAGCAAGTCAACCGACGCAAATTTCGCGGAGAATCGTCACCTCAGCCCGCCACTTGGTTATGACAACCTTCTGTGATTGTCGCGTCCAGTTTGCGGCTGATGCTTTCTCTTCTCAGTTTTTGCTGTTAGCCCTTGTTGGCTTTGTTTCGTTGCAGTATACATTTCCCCGTTCACCTTTTTAATATTGATTTCTCTCCAGCTGCTTGTGTGGTTCCATTCTACACGTACGAGTCTTGAAGCACAGCAGATGAGGCTGTGGCAGCGGCGGACCTTGTATGAATTTTCAGCTCAAGACAGAACTCTCTCCGCTGCATGCCGAAACACCAGTGATTTGATAGCTCGCATTGAAGATGCAACAGAAATGTAACCTCGCAGAGAAGAAATGATAGGTCTATGCCCTGCAATGCATTCGCGCAAGTGGGTCTTGGATCACCTTCACCCTGGCGGTCGTGACTCCCCTCCACCCCCAACTCCCCACGACCACGGAATCACTTTCTGCCCAGCGACATGCTGACTGCGACATGTTATTTTAGGGTGTGTTTTTGGCATCTAGAGCTGGTAGGTTTATAGTGCTTCTTCGTGCTTGAGGCTTTGAAGCTTTAGCTGCAGGTTGCTATTTGTGAGGGTTCCGTTCTTGGTGTTCCAGGGTTGAGGGTCCAGGGTTGGGGTTTAGGGGTCATGGGTTTACGGGTATGGAGGGGGGATGTTGTTTTTATAAGCAAAAGCTGAGACTTGCCTCCTGGGTGCTGGATATGACATGAGGGAACATGGGAAGTGTCAGCCGTAAGAGTTTTCATGCCTGCATCGCAGGGACAGAGCCGTCAGTCGGGTTCTTATCCAGTGCCTTTTGATCTCAGAACATGCATGAGTCCTTCATGTGAAAGGTGCAGCTACGGCAGGCTGGATGTGGAGCAGATGGTTCTGCAAGCAAGCTAGAGCTGCAGATGAGCCCTCACCAGGCGTTGAAGGAAATCAGCCTTGCACGGGCCCGTGCACGAGACTCTGGACTTGCTGTGTCTAAGAGGCAAGTCAATGCGCGATGATTTGTTGTTTGCTTGACGTCGATGCCCAGTACTAGAACATGCAAAACTTGTGTTTGGCTCAACGTTCGGCGGATCTGCGACTGGCACACGCAGGTCACGGCCAATCTCGGGCCCACGGCTGCCATGGAGAGTTTTTGAGACAAATCTGTGGGTCATCTCTTGGCTGCGCTTTGTCTGCCATTATGAGGCCACTACCCACCGCTGATACTCGGCAGCTCTGGGTGAGACGCAAATGTTGCAGCAGAGCAGGTGCCTTCTTGAGTACCTGATCAGCAAGCTCTTTGGAGGAGTGGTTGGTTGATGACGGGGCCAATGGCACTTGCGCCAGGGGTGGTAGCCAAAGGAGAGATGAGCAAGTGGAAGCTTCGTCTTAGACACGATGGCGGATGCCATGCTGAAGGATATGCATTCTGAAGAGGGACGAACAAGGCAATGGTGGGACAGAAGAGTTTTTGGATCAGAAGATGTTAGACCACTTGCCGTCCATCTGGTTTGGGCTGCATTGTTACCGCCCCTCTATTTGCGCTTGTACGCAACGCAGCAAAGCTATGTGTATGCAGCAATCACAAGGCTGCGTCTCCTTTTCCTCAGCAGCGCTTCCAGAGGGCATGACCGTCCAGATTCTGCACTGACTGCATGTGTTGAGTTCCCAAGTCCAAGCACAAGCGCAGAAGCGCAGACAAGGCTAAAGCCAACCCCTTGGCTGAGCGCGGGTGGGCTTGCACATGCACACGTAGTAAGTGTCAGAAAGGCTGCACCCACGCAGTGCCACGCCAGAACAGCTGTGTGGCCAACAGGCGGGTTGAAAGCACGCCGTGATTACGAGCAAGAAAGAAGGCGTGTACTGTTGTCCAGATCCACTCTGTGAATGCGAGGGTTGCAAGAGTTGCACCATGAAAGAGTGGAGCTACTGAGGTGTCCCATGCTGAGGAAGAGATGCTGAGATGCCAGGAGGTGACGGCTCCGCGGGCTCTGAGACTCGGCTTAGATGTCTTAGCAGTGCATGCAGTGCCAGGCAATGAGTCGATTGAGGAGGAACGTGAGAGTCATTGCAACTGCATCGGTCTCAGGGTTATCAGCGGTTTAAAGAAATATGTTCTGTCAGTTCGAGGTCAAGCCAAGTGAGGAGTTGTCAGTTTCGGCCTCAGTGATAAAGCCAAATTCAAGACTTCTCAGGAGGAGCAAGACTGGCTGCGGATTGTGAGCCCACAAGAGCTGCAGGCACACCCAAATCGGCAGAGTACAGAATTTGTTTCACCTCTGACGGCTCGGATGGGGATGTGAAGGTCAGTGGTGTGGATCCAATTCAAGCGCAGGCACTTTCTGTCCAAGAGTGCAAGTACAAGCATTAATTACTTGGGGTGGATCTGAGAGTGTTGGCATGAGCTCTGCGCACCTGCAGGCAAATAGGCGACGACGCATGAGCACAGGCAGGCATTGGCATTGTTAGCTTTGGAGAGATTGGCAGATGCAGCCCTGCTCCCTGAGACATGGTCAAAAACAGCTGCGCAAACGTATCTACCTAACACTGTATCAAACCAGGTTGCTGTGTCTGTGGCCGGATAGGGCATGATCCTGCTATCTAGCTTCGCTTGTCACGAAAGCTAGCCTCCGGGTCTAGCTTGAGTTTCTCATCAAGCGTTAGCTTGAGCTTGCAACAAGGGGTGTGGGGTGGGGGGGCGCTCTTGGTGCATGGTCAAAAATCTGGCTTCAGCCAGACAGCAGGGCAGGGATGGTTTCGGGCATGATGCAGGGGGGTTGTTTTCCGACCTTTAAAGAACACGTCAAGAAAACTTCTTTTTGGGCTCACAAGAACGGATAAAAAGGGCATGAAAGAACGCGCCACAAGTGCGTCACAGGCAAAAGAACACATGCTCGACCCATCGCATGAACCCTGGACAAGGTTCGTTCAAGATGCTCAAGCTTCCTGGCCTTCGTTCAAGCCCCCTTTGTGTTTGAGCATACGTACGTACTGTATCTACTAGAGTATAGCAGACTAGTGCCGAGCACTAGCTCAGTTAGTGTAGGTAAAGTCATATGCAAGTACTACATACACCCACATTTACACTGGATACACATGGATACTATTTGACTGCCACGCGTTTTGGTGTCAATCAAGGGCTTGTGTCCTGTATGTCAATCAAGGGCTTGTGTCCTGTACTGTAGCCTTCCTCATTCCCGGTAGTGAGAAAAGGAGAAAGTGCGCATCTGCATTCTGCCAGTTAGATCCTGCTGTAGCTTTCGTGCCAGTCCCTCTCCCCCAAGTCGTGGAGCACCACTGCAGCGGACTCCATTAGGGTTAATAGGGTTTGGACATCTTAGGAAGCAGTACTATTAGAAACAGTGGTAGGGCATAGGTCCAATCCTAACTTCAAGGCTTAAGGCCCTGGGCCGCTGCTGGGAACGGCACAGCTGGAAGTCAACCCTGGGCGTGGAAGGTTGCATTCCTGAGAATTCACTTCCAGAAAGGCGACCGTCTCCTGGCAACACCAGACTTTTTCTGACTCATGGGTGTTTGGGTGGCAGATCTTGAACTCTGAGGCGCTACTCCGTTTCATCGTCAAGCAAGCTGCAGTTCGAGCACATTCTGCAACAATCAGCCCTAAGCCTGGAGTGGGCAGGCATTGTTGAGGTTGCACTGAGCAACTACAGTTTTTGCTGGATGTAAGAGGCCTGAAGTTTTCTGAATTACAATGAGGATCTTGCTGGCCTGAACGAAGTGTTGAAGACAGATGTGCAAGCCGCTGTTGCCGGGCAGGCCTTGTGCGACGGTTTCAGAGCTGAAATGCAGGTTGCAAGATGTCGCGAATTGTGAAGGCCACCAGCTTGCTGTTGTGTGGTGCTGGCCACCAGAGCTCCATCTACAGCTTAGCGCACCAGGCAGCAGTGTGCAATTTCAGACTTCAGGTATACAGTATTGCCACATGGCCACGTGGCTGGCTTTGTCTGAAGCATTTGCCGAGAGGAATTTGCAAGGTCAAGTTAGTACTGTCGAAGTTGCAGGTAAGACCTCTGATTAATGGGTTGATGAGTCAGTGACTAGGGAAAACGCAGGGCTATTCCTGGAAATACTACGCCGTCTAATATACCATGGAACATCATCCAACGGCTTATAGTTGGGGTCGGACATGAGTGAGCAAACAAGCGCCGAAGAACCCTCAGCATCAAACAGGCCCTTCCCACGCGAGAAGCCTGACCCTGAAGGGACCTAGGCGCGTAAGGCTATCCCCAGGAACCCTGCTCGGACAAAATGTCCTGTGTTCACTTGAGCCACAATTTTCGCTGTGTCATCCTGGCATGGGCCATGCTTCAACGCCCTGATCTACGGCATTCCAAATACAGATGGGAACCACATTGCGAGCTTCCAGTACAAAAAGTGTCATATGGGACACCTCTATGCTGTCACCCCAGCAAGCTGGATCTTCTGCAAGACTCAGCCCTATATGAACCACTGGTCTGATGCCTGACTCACCTGACTGCCTGGCAGCGGCAGTCGCCACGCATTGCCTCGCTGCAAGCCACGCGTTGCGCAACATGGCAGCAGTCCAGAGCACGACCCGGCGCGAGCCATTCAATTCCGAGGGACGTCTTGAGTCCGCCAACGCATTCCTATGCCATCGAAGTCACAGGCCTACAGAGCAACGTGGGGCCTGTCCCTAGTTAGGGCCACAGTAACATGGATTCCAATACTAAGCCAGTACTACAAATAAAAATCAGGCCGGCTGACGGAAACAAAGATGCAAGTACTAAGTAAGTAATGCAATCGACGAAAAACAAACCGGCCATGGAAACGTAGAGTCCTGGACTAAGCCAGTACTGCAGATCAAGGAAAGCGTGCTTACTTGATGCTGCTGCTTCATGCAGAGCACCGCAAGACTATAGGGGAGACAAGACGGCATGATAACCTCTCCGTGAATGTGCGGCTAGTGCAGTGCATGAGAGGGAGATTTTTGGTATTTGACTAAAGCAGGGGCTTGATGGGGTTAATGTCGGCCGCAGCACGTGTGGGTGCACATTGCCACAGCTTTGCGCAAGGTTGCGTGTGAACTTGAGCTTCATGCCTGTGCCCAGATCTCAGATATTGCTGCTGGCATTTGGCAATCCGGTCAAGTGTGCTGCGTCCCAGACGAACACTGAGGACGTGGCGGACTTCAAGGTGAACTGGTCACCAGATTGGTAGGTTACAACAAGCGAGCCCTGACAAGGCGTCGCTGCAAATGTTCGAGGTCTCCGGTGACCACCTTCGAGATCTTCTGCAGGCGCGTCGATGATGTCAGCATTGCTGCGTCACAAGTTTATAACCAGTGAGCATCCTGTAGCGGCGCTAGCAGGAATCAAGCATGCCCAGCTTCAAAGGAAGGCCTGACATAATGAAAGCTGGGCCATCCAAAGGGTTTCCGTACTGTATTCAATTCGCAGGCTGCGATTTCGCGCTCTGGCATCTGAGTTGGTATTGCACCCAGAGATGGTCCTGGGTGGCGTCCAGGCATGATCAAGCGTGTCAGGTTTGGAAGTCCCATCAGGCTGGTGTGCCGGTGGTCACACATCAGCCGGGATGCAATGCAATGCATCATATCATGATTTTCAGTCGCGATGCAAGCTGGCCCATGTCGGCAGGTTGCATCCACACTTCGCAGTCTCATAGGCCCTTGCCGCTGAGCTTGTGCAAAGTCTTGACGCTCTGATCCACCTTCCTTTCGGCTTTGAGGTGAGGGGTGGTCGCGCCACCTTCAGAGCCGGTTTGCTGTGCTGGGCGCTTGTAGCACTTGCATTTCTGACAGCGAGCGTGCTGGTAGTGCGCATCAAGTGCGCATGAAGTCGATGTGTTCGAGGTCGCATGTGGCGGTGATTTTCCAACTGTTCAGGAGCTGCAGATTGCTTGTGCGTGTTCAGCTGGGCTGGCAGATCCTGCGAGACACTGGCTGTTGTGATTGCGCAGGTCTTGCAAACTCGTCACAACCTTAATGTTCAAGTAGATCATGCTCAGCGAGCTGGCAGCCGCTGGCTAGCCGAAGCACACATGTGCTCGGGTCTCTTGGGAAGTCTTGTGCACTTGGCCGAGTACCACGTGTCCTTGCACATGACCAGTTGTTAAGTAACTATCGGCGTGGCGCCACTCAGTCTTACCTGCATCAGACTTGGGATTTGTTTAGCTCCAGCCAGCTGGTCAAGAAGAAGATGCAAGACATGCTGCACATTTCCCTGGACTAATTCCCTTCATCTGGCTGCGGAAGAGCTTGGTGTGTGTTGCGGGAGAGCCGTGGGCCTGCCAGTGCGTGGTTGCGTGAACCCACTAATGTATTCCGAGGTGGGAAGTGAATTTAAGGGCCGTGCTACACATAGTAAGCGTGCGCAGAGCAGGTATCGTGCGGGTCAGGCGTAAGGAAGAATCAAGTGTCCTTGAGTGAGTCACTCCGGGTTACTTGAAGCGTCGGAACCCCTAAGCCCAAGGACCGTCATCAAAACCCCACCCTGAAACTGACTGAATAATTGCGCTCACATTTCGTTGCTCTCCTTTTTCATAGTTTATACTTACTATCATGCTTTTGAAGGCTCCAGCGGTAGCCGATCCCAGGGGCTCGCCAACACTCGTTTGCTTTTCGCATGCTAGCTTGATTTTCCTTCATTACCACGCTGAGTCTTTAGGGTTTAATTTTAGTTTTTTGACTTTCATGTATCCTGGCGATTGGGCTTTATCACATTTAAGATATCAAGTTCGCTTGCCTGAAGTGACGCGGCGGCTGACTCCGCTGGACTACCTTCTGCGCCCTCGACAGCTGCGCCCCCTGCAGCCTGCGGCTGCCGACGACAACTCCAGGTTCTTGCCGGCAAATGTGGCTATCGATAGCTGGCAAACGATGCCCAGCTACGGACTGCTCCAACCTTTTGGATAGCATCGTATTGCGATGTTTTTTTTGGCTCAAATGCAACTAGCTGCGGGGTAGTGAGCGGTAGCATGCCATGGTTTCATTGATTGATTTGTGTTGGTTTTTCCCTGTGACTGGGCGTTACTTCCTGCGGGAAAGCTACTGCTTTGATTTGGAGAAGACGCGGCCTCGCTACAGCTACTTTTCGTACATGGAGCCGCCTGGGTCCCAAATTCCAGGGCATGCTGCTGGAAATGCGTACGCTGGCTTATATAGAGAGCATGCAGGACCGAGGGTTGGTCTGTGCGCCATGAGCAGATCAGGAGCTGAATCTCTTGCAGATGAAGCGAAATTTCATGGCTTATATCCCACCGTTAATGATTTTCCCGGCACTCAAAAAATTCTACAAGAAAGCGCTCTTTTCGAAGGGCTTGCGGCAGAGCACAGAGGAGTAGCCTTGGCGGTACTTGGTACAGAGGACGCTGGTTACGGGCAAATGCCGAAACTGGCCTTCCGGAACAACCAACAGCGCCCAGGTCGTCGAGCCAGGTTCGCAGGGTAACGCACTCTGCATGCACTGAATGAATTCGTTTCATCAGCTATAATATTGGAGGCATGTCTACAGACAGTTACGATGTTTGTGCAAATTGGTTGCAGACGCAGCAATTGGCAGACGTGGTAATCTTACAAGAAATACACTGGGGACTCGGCAAGGAGCATTCCTGTTTTCGGATTGGCAGCTGGAACGTTGTGACCTGCGTCGACTCCAACAGCAGATTTTCCGGTGTTGCCATATGTATTTCCACGAAACTGTCCGAAGCAGATGGCCTTAGGTTTGCATCCGTTGTACCTGGAAGGCTCATGCATGTCCGATGTCAGCGAAGCGATTTTTGCATTGACATTGTTGGTGTGTATCGGTGGGCTTGGAACACGCAACATGTTTCCTTGACCGAGCAGCGCCGACACAGAATTTGGACCTCAGCTGGCAGGCTTCTTTCGCAGTTACCGCGCAGAAACCTCTCGATTCTGGGATGTGATGCAAATACGCCTGTGACACCCAAAAAGTCATTGGGAAGGGAGTCTTGAGGCTGTCAACCCTGCGCAGACTGATGTTGAAGAGCTCATGGAGCTTATTTCAGCACATGATCTCTGCCTGCTGAATACATATACATGGAAGAGCTCTAGAAAATCTGTAGCTGGAACATAATTATAGTGGACCTGATGTCTGCGCCCAGATTGACTTCTTAGCCACCAAGCGTACGGCTGCAGACCTTCAGAGACAAGCAGTGCCCCTGGATCTTGACTTGGTTCCTTGAGACATGGAGCCAAACACAAGCCGGTTTGTGGTAGCGTCCCCCTAAAAGGTGATTGGAAGCAAGGTTAGGTATAAAGGAACCCCGCAATGCAAACCGTATGATACGCAAGCGCTTGAAAGTGCCTTGGCGCCCGGAGGTGATAAATCCCGCTCTTTTCAGGTCCGAGCTGAGCAGAAGCTTTGCGCAGTGCCTACGTATGCAGATCCGGGCATGATAAATCAAGCTCTCCTCTCAGTCTGCGCTGACATGTTGAGGCTGCCTTCCAGGGTTAAGTGTGTTCAGGCGTTGCGTAAGAGCCTGGAGGGCCTATGCCCTTTTCATGAAGGCGCGCAAGACTTTAAGACATAGAGGTAGGAGCCAAAAGAAGGAAATTCTGCTTGCCAAACTTCGCAGAGCGGAAACTGCTGCAAACAGTAATCTGCGTGCGCAACTTCACAAGGCCATCCGTGATATTGCCCCCAAGCGCAGACCTGAAAAGTGCAGATACGTTCTGAGGAGATGGCAGAGATCCAAGCACACTGCAAGCAGGGTTTTGGGGAGGGCGACTTTAAGATGACCGCCAGCGACATAGAAGCCATTTGTATTAAGGTTGGGGAAACTCAGCAAGCCATACAAAAATCGCAGACAGGTAAGGCCGTTCCCAAAGACAGCGTTCCAGTCATTGTATGGAAGACCTGTTCGGAAGTGCTCTTTCAGCGGCTGAGCAGCCTTGCCAATCTCCACTATGGTCAGGGGAAGCTCTGGTATCCTTCTACTTGGGCAGATAGCCACCTTGCGCTTATACCTAAGCCAGGCAAGTAAACCAAAAGGCCTAAAGACCTTAGGCCCTAGGCATTCAGACCCCGGAGGGAAGTGCGTCGCCCGTGTCCTCAAAGAAAGACTGCTGCAAGAAATCGGACATGTGCCTCAAGACGTGCCTCAGTGTGCGTATATCCCTCCATTGACCAGGCAATCTCCAGGGTTGCGAGGCGATACCGCGTCAGACATGGCCGCCAGACTGCTTGCGCCAGTATGAATAGAGGGGTGCGCCAGGGATGCGCGTTAGCCCCCCTGCTGTTTTCCGCCGTCGCCGCCTATTACCTGCGTCGCCTTAGCCTTCGAACCAATTTAGAATGGGTTCAAAAACGTGCCACTCTGTTTGCTGACGACTCGCATCTCTCATGGGAAATAGGGTCTGCAGAGGACCTCAATAAGATGCAGAAGATGATTCAGGTCACCTTCTCCTTGTTTGCTGAATTAAGGATGAAGGTTAACCCTGAAAAGCCACTTTTTTTTTTGCAGTCAGAGGCAGGGCCTGCAGCAAATGGATAAAGAAGAGAATTTTCAGCAAACAAAAGCAACGACATGTCTATATGGGCACACCAAGTGACCCATTGGCGACCCCGGTGCACGACAGGATGGTTTACTTAGGGGTAGTGGTTTCGTATCATCAATTTGAGATGCAGACCCTCCAGCATAGAATGAAGGTCGCAAACATGCAGAAACATCGCCTGGTTAAGGTTTTGCGTTCTGCACGGGCGCTTTCCCTGAATCATTGGATCCGAGTCTATTTTGCTTGCGTCAGATCGACGACCATGTATGGTCTGCGTGCCGGTGGTGTGGCCCCTCGAGTCGCTGCCCATCTGTCAAGTTTTGAGATACGGCGCCTGCGAGCACTTGCAAGATCATCAGTACGCACCACCAGGGAAAGTAACGAGCAACTGCTTCAAAGATTAGGTGTTACCTCTTCACTTGACTATTTAAGCAAGATGCTTGAGAAGAGAATGGAGAGGGTTGATGTGCAGACTGCTGAGTGGTTCACTTTGAAAATGGGTGAACTAAATGCTTGCAGAGCTGTGCCTACTCAAGAAGATGACGACCCGGCAGGAGAAGGTGTGCTTCTGCCGCTCAGGAGGCGTGCCCTACGTGCGGCCTGTGTTTCTCAGACTTGAGCTCAATGCGCAAGCGCCACGCCAAGAAGCATGGCTACTTTCTTGTAAACCCTGATGTTAAAAGACTCCAAGGCTAGGGCTGCTCTTGACTTGACCCCTCATATGGTTGATGGTATGCCTCACTGCCCCTGGTGTTATATGGTTTTCCCTAGACCTCAAGGACTGAGGGAGCGCGTCATGGCACACTGTCCCATGCTCCATGGCACCGGTGCAGCGCAAAAGCCACTTCCGCAGATGCATGTAATGAGGCACCTCAGTCAGAGGGGACTCCGCTTGGGCACACGTGCCGGGAGTCCCCGAGCATCCCAGTAGTTCGCAGAGTGTCTGTGCACCAAACTTTGCAGCGCAAGTCATGGAGGGAGCTACTGCGTGATCCGGTTTTGGTTGCAGAGGGGGCATCATAACACACATCCGCAGAAGTCACCCGCGTGCTTGGGCACACAAGCAATGCTGTTGCACGGTGTGCTCAAGCTGGATTTCATAGGGGGTCGCCCTGCCACTACTGTCAGCAGCACGTGAAGCAAGCTGGCTCGCGCCTCCAAAACTGTGTTGTCCTTTTCCGAGCTTCCCTTGCAGACCTGCTTATCAAGGAAATGGCGACGGAAACGCCTGCAACAGTGGCCCAAAGCGAGATGTAGGCGCTGGAGACGGCGACGGACTATGCAGGGCGGGAGCGAAGACCAAGTACCACCACGGAGCTGGGGCAAGCAAAGCTCAAGTTCCAAACTGGGGGCGCAGAGTGGAGGAGCTGTCCAACATGGTTCGCCTCCTTGCCAAAGTGGTACTGAGGTGCAAGGATGAACATTCCCGACTGAGTGTGGAGTCAGACTTCCTGGTC